TTTCATTGTGATTCATGTTGTAATGAAACAATTATATGTATAATTTTGAGAATATTTGACTGTGTAAGTAAACAAATAGCTAAAATTTATTTTTATAATTTTATTTTTATGATAATAAACTTGAGGTGTTATCAAATAAAAATCTTGAAATACTACAATTTCAAACCATCAATTTATATTTAACATGTGACGTCAAATGCTCGAACACAAAAAAACTATTAAATAACAGACATAATGTGAAAATAGTAAAAAAAAGAAATAAATTTTATTAAATAACAGACGGAATAATGGACTATTCCATTAAATAACCAATGTTAAATTTAGAACCATGTGAAAATTGTAAATAAAAATTCAGGATGTTACATTATACATTCGTTGAATTGTTATGTAGAGAAATCTGACTTATATAAAATTGACGAGTATGTCCTGTTGAGTCGCACTTGCTGTACTTGCGAGATTGGAAAAAATTTTCTGTACTTGGTATTCTAGACGTACGTCTACGTCCAGGAGTACATGGTCTGACTTCGGGTGGCAACAAATTATTAAGAGGGAGAATGTGGTCGAGAACTTTCCACTTTGCTTCATTTGTTACAGGATATATCATTTCGAAGTACGATGCTCTCCAATAATCAGCCATATAATAATAATTGTAGAAGGTGTGTACTGAAAATTCTCTATTCATAGCCATTGCCACTGCATGTGTATATAAAAAACTCTCCAACAGAAAATTTCTACACGTGCACGTGTTATCATTTAAGTCCACGGTATATTTGGTATTACCTCCACATCTCATGAAGAAGCGAAACTGATCTAGTGGTTCCACATTTATCTTTCTCGTCACTTCTTGAGTCTTGAAGTATTTATTTTCCTAGGTCAGGGTTAGCACAATTGTGCAAATCTGTGATTCTCCACATCAGTTATGAAATTACTGCTGTAGATTATTACAATATACTCAATCATTGCGAGAATTGGTAACTCTCTATCTTTCTTGAATAATGTATTGAGCAACTTCACATTTTTCGACGTCATCATGTTGTATCAACATCTTAGAAAATGTGATTGTACCCAATGTTCAATCTCTATCTCTATTATATAATTTCATGCAGCATGTGATTTACTTGTCATTTTGATCATGAACTTATCAAACTCTTCAAAACTGTAAACTTTTGCAGATCTCCTAAACAATGCAACAACGCTAGTGTCCCCTGATACTTAGTCGTCAAGTTGCCCTGTATATAGTACATACAATAACCATGATGTGCCTTGGAAAAGATTTTGATGATACCAACTCCCCTCGATTAATTATGAATACAATGTTCTCGATATTCCTAATTACTTTGCTCAACTCGTGAAGAACCAACGTATCGCTAGATCATTCTCTTCTTCGACTATGTCACATACAAGAGGGTAAATTTGGACATTAACATCTTGACATATTGCAATAATCGATTTGTCTTCATATCTAATATTAAGAGTTGTACTATCGATTAGAATTAGGGGTCGTATCGCATTTTGAAATTCTTGAATGCATTGTCCAAATGGCATGAAGAAATACTTGAAGTGATTTTCGCCCTTTGTGTCAAAAATAAAATTGTCGTTCCAGAATTAGTTTTCCCCATGTTATAGTAATACCTGTCCAATTTAGCATAACTCTCATCAGCCAACCCTATTAAGTCCCCCAATGCGCATTTTTTAGTCTTCCAGACTTTCTGATAGCTCATGACTATCTCATACTCTCAACAGGTGTTATTAATGATGTCTGAATGTCTATAAATTGTTTGTGGGTCTTGAAACTTATGCATTATTTGTTGACCAATAAACCATGCGCTGGCTTGCCCGTGATCATTTCGATGAATACTAACTTCATAAGTATGTTTCCGTGCATACTTACGAATTATAAATGACTCCTTCGTGTCTATCTTCATTGCTCGCAATCGCCAAAGGCAACTGTCATCAAAGTAGATAACTATGTACATCGACTTGTTTAATTTTTTCACTTTAAACTCAAAATTGTCTTTCAAAAAAATTTGGTGCACAATTTCCTATAAATCTTTCCTTGTTTACAGTTGCTCAACAACAAATCTTATCATCGAGAACTATACGAACAATTAGAAGATCATATACTTGTTCTAGCCTGTAAGTTTCCACCCAACTTATGTCTCTAATGGGATAAAACAATCAAATCCTCATTTGTAAATTTATTTTCATTCTCGTTGTCTTAAAGCATTAGTTACAGTTAATTAGTTTAATTTTCTAATATTATGCTTTATCCATTATTTCTTGCAAAAGGTTCTAATATTTGAAATTCTGTAGGATGGAATAGCACTTGGACATGACCATTAGACAGATTTTCAACAAAGTTATAGTTCGACGTGACTTTGCTAGCTTTGCATCGGTACTGGAGTTGCCAGATGAGGAGCAAGTAGACATATTACGTCGATCTTACTTATGGCCTCTATATTCATTGCTCGTCGTAAAGTTTTCTAGATAGTTACTCAATGCATTACTATATCGGTTGCTTAAGTCAATTGATAGAGATGCCCTCCATTTTGATCTGGGGGCAAGGTAGCTACATTCTTTATATTTGAGTTTGCCATCATCATCAAATTGAGATGTAAGGACGAAGGAGCAGCAATGGCTTGAATTCTGAGAAACTGAAGATACTGAAAATACTTTCATAGACAAATGACAGTAACTCTGATCAGTTGGAAGATGCATTCAGGGAATGCGACTAGATGTCAAACATCAAGGGAATTCTGTATAATAGTGAGATATGGTGAGGAACAACTATCTCGAAAATAGTCACATCATCCTCATGAACTATCTCCATCGTATCCCAAAAATAATTTACATTATGATCCCCTCATCGGAATCTCTGTATTCATTCTCGAGGACATTTTTTTTAACTAATTTATGCAAATAAGAGTCGTGTAATTTTGGTTCAATTTAATTAAAACCTTCATTTCAGTTTCGGAGTAACCATTACAGGTAGAATTGAAATGGATGTATGCTTGCTGAATAGAAATCTTAATTTCATATCGTACTGATAGTGATCGATGTTGAGCTTGTTCTATAAATCTTGGTACATTTTTCGCATATGATGTATTTGATCTTATCACAATTGTAGTAGCACCAAGTCTTTCATTCGTCTATTTTCACACTCATCGATTATTTTCATTTATTTCAAATTCACAAAAGTAACAAACCGAAATTGCTGCTGATCCCATATCTGCATTAGAAAACATAATTTGTTAACAAATATAATTAGAAGATGAAAAGGAAGAAGATCCAGCCGGCCTAACCATCTGGAAATCGACGGCCTAGACAGTCGGGACGTCTGTTTTCGACTTGCTAGATCTAATCGGTTGGAAAATAGATGGCTCAACTGCTTGGGCCGTTGATTTTTTAGCCGGGCCAGTGGTGGGCCGACTGTTCCCAACTGGCTGTTAGTTTATGTAGATTTTGAGGTAGAAGCGGATAAAAAATGAAATAATTTTTATCTTTGTTTAAGTAAACAGATAAAGAAAGTGGCTTGATTTTAAAATTTTAATTGTGAAGTGTTTGAAATTTTTTGTAACTTAAAAGGATATTATTGTTTTTTAAAACATTCCATAGATTTGTAATTATATAACATATAAAAAGATAATTTTGTCTTTTACGCATAAAAAGGCAATTGTGGTGAATGGTAAAAAATTTTGGTCAAAGTAAAAATACCATGTTGACATGACCATTTTAAAAAGTGCACCTTTCACACCATCAACAACTTCTTAACTAGTTTTGATATAAAAAAAAAAAAAAAAAAAAAAAAAAAAAATTAAGCCCATGGTGGTAGGAAATAAAAATAAGATTTTAATCTTAATTAAAGTCAATAATTAATTTTAACTATATATTTCATGTTATCCGCAAATTTTCAATCACATATTTCATTAACTTTAATTAAAATCTACTAAAATTTTGATTTTAATTTTCAACAGACATGGGCTAGATTTTAATAAAAGTTAATAGAATTTGTGATTAAAAAACTGTAAATCTCATGAAATGTATAGTTTTGTATAATCGCTTCGATTTTAATTCACTTTCTAAGTTGAACCAAATAGGAATTCTATATATAAAAGTAAAATTGTGCATGTGTCAATACTTAAAAATATTTTTTAAGGGTAATTTCATTTTTTAAATATGTTTCAAAAAATCATTAGTTACTTAAAAAGTAGGATTATTCTTGTTTAACATGCCCACGTGGCCCTGTTGAAACAAGAGGGTAAATATAGCAGGGCTCTAAAAAGTAATTTATTTATTTTTGATGTTAACCGACAAAAAAATTATTTAAATAGTCCCGTACATCTAATAAGCAAAATTTGCTAAAATGGAAATTCTACTTTTATAGATTAGATAGAAAAATTAGATAAGATCAAATGAGAGTGTAGCCGTTATTTTTGCACCCAAAAAAAATGAAAAAGAAAAAGAAATGGAGAGTTAATTTCACGCATGGCCATTGAACTTTAATTTGGTTCAAAAATGTCATTAAACTTTACAAAATGTTATATTCAAACAAGTGACTCAGTTTAACATCTATTTTTTAGTTGAAAATTTCGTGTTCATGTCCTAGGTTGTACGCTTTAATTTAAAAATTTATTAAATTGATGACTTGGCAACAGACAAAGAATTTTATGTTAAAAATAGGAACCTTACTAGATGTACAAGTAGGGGTTCACATCGACACCTCATGGAGGGATGAGTTATTTTTTGACCATTTTTTAATTAAATAGGTCCAACGCACTGTGAGTTATCTGACAGAACATTGCTTCTATACAAATGGAAAAATCCTATAAATAGACGTCAACTGAAGCAGTAGTCTATATGAGATATTTTGTAAAGTTTGGTGATGAGGCTGAAATAAATTAAAGATTGAGGGGCCAAGTTGACACTAAGTGAAAAGCTCAATACCCATTATTTAAATTAACCCGAAATGAAAATATATAAATTCACCACCTCATTTGACGGGTCTACGGACCGGATCTTGATATCCCCTGTAAGTTACCTCCCAGATTACTGTGAGAGGAGAGATTTTTCACCCGCCCAAATTTTCTGTATTATTCAATTTTCTTAATAAAAAACCTAATAATCGGATCGGATCTTTGTTCAATTCAATCACTTCAGACCCCATATGTGAATAATTTCACAGTTTCACAAACAAAGAATAAGTAAAAAATGGATGCGGTGTCGATCCGGGTGCCGTATAAGAATTTGAGGCAAGAAGTAGAATTGGTGGGCGTGGATGAATCGGAACTGCGTCGCTTACAGACCCATTCGTTTAATTCCTCATCGTCACCGTCCAGGATATCCGACAGCGGAGAGACGCCACCGGATTCAAATCAGAGCCGGAATGTTGAGCCTCCGAAGAATTGTAGCTTGATTACGTTGATCTTGAGTTGTACGGTCGCTGCTGGAGTTCAATTTGGCTGGGCATTGCAGCTCTCCCTTCTCACTCCTTACATTCAGGTATTATTATCTTATACATACGTACTTTTGTTTCATTGTACTGTTAAGAAGCGTAGCTTAATCTAATGTACGTGTGTATTTATGTATTATTTTGGTGGATTGATTAGTGAGTATGGGTGTTCTTAGTTTTTATTTTTTGGACTTTTGTAGCCTGTATCTTTAGTGGGATTTTGGGAATGTGTAGATATTGATTTCGGTTCATTGGAAAATTGGGATTTTTCATTTTCTTCCCTTGAGTGGATATAAAATAATGATCTGAAAAACGAAATAATTATTTTTTTCTTTCTTTTCAGTTAATTGTATAGAAAGTACGACGCTCCGTGTATATGGCTTTCATTGTTTTTGGTGGGGAACGATATAAACAATTATAGACACAAATGCTGAAAGTATGGTTACTTCGTCTAATGAAATCCGTTGGTTGAGGTTTAGAAATGTGTTATAGAAATGCTAAACGCAGAATCCACCAGAGGATTTGATGTAAGATGTGAAAGATGGAGGCAGTAACACAAGCAACTTTATTTTTGTATTTCCATATGCCATCTACTTGAGCAAATTATGAACAATGAATTTAACTAATTTCAGAGTGATATTTTTATATGCATTTCAATGAAATAAATCAAAATCAAGCAGCCAACGAATTAACAAGATATAGAAAACTAGATAAAAATTAATGGTTTTGATAATACTGAGGCCGAAGAATAAATTAAAGATTTCCTCATTTCTTTTTTGTATTTATTTTGTGGTTCTTCTCTTGCCATTATGCTCTTTTCCTAGTTTTTTCATTTCAACACTAAAAGCCACTAATATCTTGCCCAGGGGCACTTTTGACAACTATGTGCAGTTACAAATCCCATTTGCTTTTCTTCATTTCTTTCCTAGAGATGACAAAAAGACCCAGTCGATCCGAAACCTGTGGGCCCCGAGCCAAATGGGCATGAATTCCATGCCATGTTGGGTTGGTCGGTGGGTTCAGGGCAAGTCTTTCTTGGACTTGATTTTGGAGTGGGGCAGGTTTTCCCCTCCCCCATCTTGTTTAGTATTATTTATAAAATTAAATTTCAAATATTTATATATCTATATATTAAATTATTGAATGGAGCAATAAATTGGACAAATGACTGTCCGACCCGTCTTAAGTGGAGCAAGGGTTGAAATCCCCAACAAGGCTAGGCTTGGAGTGGCTGCCCTGTCCCGAACCCTTCCCATTGTCATCCCTATTTCTTTTAGCTATTAATTGAGTGGCTAGTGTAGCATATTAGCTGCTTGTCAATGATATTTGAGTATTACAACTGCTTATTTTCTTTAGTACCATTTCTTTTCCACTCTGGCATCACACTACTAATTGGAGGTGGCACAAATCGAGAATAAATTAAGAGAATGATGACTAGGGTTTCCCAGTATGTCTGACCTAAAGAAGCTCTCGTACACAGAAGCAGTGCAGTTCAAAATATAATAAGATACAACAGTGGAGGTAGACCAAAATCAACATGAGGACATGGGTTTAAAGGATTTAGATTGTGGTAGATATCTGAATGGATCGCACGGAGTTGTGAAAAATGATTTGTGTAGTTTGCTCAAAAGTTAATAAGAATTATACCTAGTTTGTGATGTAATGTATGTATTTATTTACCTTATATGTGAGACGAAAGCATTAATTTATGAAGGAACAGGATAAACTTTGGAGAGTAAGTTTTTCTTTTATAAGAAAAGAAAGACATGGAATCCCCATTTGTAAACATTAATGTTGAAGAAAGTTCTGTTGTTTCACTGTATGTTTGGGAAGTGATTATATTCTGGTTAAATTATAAATAGATAGCAGTTAATGGTGGAACTTATAGTTCCAACGAGATATGTGGATAAAAAGTATGTTTGACCAAAAGTGATCATGAAAAATCACTTCCCAAATAAGCTTATTATTGGGCATTCTGTTTGTTTCTTGTTTGGTTAACATTCTATTTTTACCTTCTGCTGCAGACACTTGGTATAGGACATGCATTTGCTTCATTTATCTGGCTTTGTGGTCCCATAACAGGCCTTGTGGTACGTGGTGACACAATTTTGTTTCAACTATTTAAGTTTTTTTCTAATTGTAGGGTATTCAACTGGATGGCATTAATTTATTTCATGAAGCTCAATGGTAGTGAAATACTTATGTAATTTAGTTGAGTTTTTACAAGATCATGATAGTACTAATTGTAAGAAGTCTGTGATAGTCAATTATGAAAGCTCATCACTTGCTTCGTTACTGAATTGTGGTAAGCTCCTGCAAAGTGAGGTTAACTGTGCCTGATATTTCAAATCACTCATAAAAATCCTTCTTTTTTGGGGGAAATATGTACGTTTTGGATGTATGCAATACAAATGATATTGGTAAAACCTGCAAATTTGTTTACTTGTCTAATAAAGTACATGTAACCATGTATTTTTATTTATTTTTTTCGTTGAGTTTATTAGCTTCGTACATTCTGAAATTATGCAAGTCATCTTTCTTCTCGGGTTCCTCCTGACTTCGAAACACATACAAAACTTATCACTAATATGGAATAAAAAAATTACATTTCCTCAAATGTTTTCTGGAAAAGTATTTTGTACTTTCAACTCAACAACTGTAATAGTAACATTGGCTTTACTGATAGCATCAGATCTTGATCATCACTAGTCACATGAAAAGTCACTTTGTAAATTTTATTTTGTCATGATTCGGAATGAAATCTAGTTTCTGAAGAAGGCAGAGTTTGGAATATTTACAAAACAAATGATATTGGCAGACCTTGCAAATTTGGTTGCTTGTCTAATAAATATTTTTGTATATACATGTATAAATTTTCGTTGAGTTTGTTTCCTTCATTCATTCTGAAATCATTCAAGTTATCATTCTTCCTCTTTTCCTTGTGTCTTCATAACTAGCAAAAGTGATACAAGACTTATCGTTGATTTAGAAATAAAAGATTTAGAATTTCCTCAGGTTTCTTCTGGAAAAGTGCTTTGTACTTTAAACTGTAAAAATATATTAGTAACATCTATTGTGGAGTTTAGTAGTAAAATTAAATCTTGACCATCACTATTCACACGGATAGTAATGTTGGCAAATTGGTTTTTCTGGTGATTGGAAATGGAATCTAGTTTCTGAAGGTTGGTTTGGGATGTGAATTTTCATTTTACTTTGAATAAGCAACTTTGAAGTCCAATACGTTTGGTGGTATGAACTGTTGCTAAATTTCTCTGTTCAACTATGTAAATATTCACCCCCATGTTAACCTAAGAATTTTATTTTATTTTTCTTTATATTATTTCCGTCTTTCAGGTTCAACCTTTTGTTGGCATATGGAGTGATAAGTGCTCTTCAAAATATGGTAGAAGAAGGCCATTCATTTTTGTTGGATCTCTGATGATCTCAGTTGCTGTATGTTGTGAAACTCGTATTTGCCTTTCAGTAATTGGTGTTTTATCTTCATATCGGTTAAACTAAATCTTGTAATACAGGTGATAATAATTGGGTTTTCTGCAGACATTGGTTACCTTTTGGGAGATACAAAAGAACACTGCAGGTATTCTTGACCCCTTGATAATACATCTTTTTCGTTTTTCTTGCTTTTGAATGTCAGTATGTGTTTAACCAACTCATGCAATTGCAGCACATTTAAAGGTACTCGCTCGAGGGCAGCTATTATCTTCATAATCGGGTTTTGGATGCTGGACCTTGCAAACAACACAGTGCAGGTGTATTCTAAAAGAGCAAATTTATGTGCACCCACATGGTGGAAAATTCTTGTTTTTGTCTCAAGTTCAATAATTTTTAATATTATAAATAGAGAAGTGACTTCTGAATTATTACAGGGTCCAGCTCGAGCTCTCCTGGCCGATTTATCTGGTAATCCTTCTCTGCCTACTGAATCTGATGAAAAATGAAAAGTAGTATAAATTATATTTTTGGCCATTGAACTCTTAATAGCGAACAGATGTCATTCTACTCTTTGTGCATTATCTTTTGCACTATAAGATAAGTTCAATTTGAGCATTGAACTCTTAATAGCGAACAGATGTCATTCTACTCTTCATGCATTATCTTTTGCACTATAAGATAAGTTCAATTTGAGCATTCGTTATCTGGTAATTTATCTACTGCTAAAGCCTGGGAGTTGGTAAATAGCGTGGCCCATACGTTCAATTTGGAATAAACCCCGATGAAGATATCATTCTTTGCCTGGCGCTTGCTTAATAATTGGCTTCCAGTGGATGATATAAATTTATCTCAAACAATTCCCCATATATTTTGCACTTTTTTGATGAAAAAATGAATCATGCAACTGATTTTGCCACTTCAGTTTATTTTATTTTATCATTTTTATCTTGTTTTGCAATTTTTGAAGTTTAAAGCTGAGAAACATTTGTTTTCAGCAATCTCCCCCTTCCCTTCCCCAGACTTGAACCAGTGATGGAATGATCAGTCTAGCCATAATTCCATACAGTGCTTCCCTACCCCTTCTGCCCTTCCCTCTTCTCCAGATGTAATCTACCACCCTATCACATTGTTTATTGGCATGAGCCTTACATCAATGGAAGCCCTCAAATTATAAAAGTGCAACGTACAAAAATACCCCTAAAATTAGGGATCTTTTGAAGACTCATATGAAAAGTATTTTGGAAGTAAAAAATATTGTGTAAAATTAATTGTCACTTTTTTTTTTTTAGTAAAAAGTGATGCAATATCTCTTTTTAAAGTTAAATGTCACTTTTATTAAAAAAATCATGTTTGTCACTTGAAAAAGTCACAAAAAAAATTGACAAATACTAAAAAAGGTACTGAAATTTAAAAAAAGTGACAAAAACTTAAAAAGTGACAAAAAATTCAAAATGTTACCACCAATTAAAACATTAGAATCAGTTCAGTAAAGTAACTGAAAAATTGACACAACCATTGTCCTCCCTCTTTCTCCATTCGCTGTTAAGCATCTTTAAGTTAATTCATCAACAAAACACAAATCAAAGCGTCAAGCGTCTTTAGGATGCTGTTTGACCCTCATTAAAATTATAATCCATTTCTCCATCTTCTTTTTAACCACACATTCTCCAATAAAATGATATACGTAATCTTAGAACCTTTTTTTTTTTTTAACCACATATTTTTAAAAAAAATACTATTCCAAATATTATAATCTCAAATAATGGGGGCCAAACGGGCGCTAAGTCAAACTCTGCCAACCCATTAATCATATAAAAAGTTTTTGGAAATAAAAATAATGTATAAAGTTATGTTTCACTTTTTAATAAGAAAGTGACATATAATGTCACTTTTATTAAGAAAGTAATATTTGTCACTCAAAAAAGTGACAAAATAAAAAAATGACAAACATTTTATTCAAAAAAGTGACAATAACTTAAAAAAGTAACAAAACACAAATTAAAACATTTGAATCAGTTAAATAAAATGATAGAAATAAAAAAAGTGACACAAATACCATCTCCCTATTTCTCCGTTCAATGCCAAGCATCTTTAGGTCAGTTCAACAACAAAACACCAATCAAAACGCTAAGCATCTTTTAAGTCAATTTACTGCTACAGTCATCTACTAACTAAACAAACCCATTGACCTCCACTTAAGTCAATCTTATACAATTTCGATGCTTAATCAAGAGAGAGTGAAATCCAGTACTAGAAACAAGTTGTTGAAATCTTAGAAACACAAGATCGATAGAGTAGTATTTCCCCATTTCCAATAAGTAAGAACTTCTCTCTACAATTCATCAATTACATATATGTATATATCGCGGGGGAAAAAAAAAAGGATTGGGGGGGGGGGGGGGGGGGGGGGGGGGAGTGAACTTAATAAAACACGGTCTAATCATGTGAATCCCATTAACTTGCTCTTTTTCAATACTGCCCCTGCCTCACATACATAGCCCACAACGCACATCATTTACATGAAAATTAATGTATTAACTTTAAAGAAAATCCGGGTATGCAATGGAATCTTGACAAAACACTAATAAAGTTAAATCTTGGAAGATCTTGGAAGGGGGGAAAAGCAAAATTAGAAATCAGATCCTAATTTGGAATAGAACTCCAAAGTTGAGCAAAATCAACAAAAATTATTAACAATTAGACAAGATCTATTACAGATGTAGTGATGAGAACTAGTGTGATGAGAACTGAACATCAATTGGATTGATGTAAAATTTTGTTGTTTAATTCATAACTAACAAATATATCAAAATAAAGAAGCTCTCAACAATACAAAAATTCACAATTGAAATTGTTAATTGCTTACAATAATTATATAAGCATTTGCTCATGGAAAGAACCAACACTTGGTCACTTTAACAATGGTGTCGAAATTAAGGAACTGCTTACTATGAATTTGAAATAATCTTCTTTGCTTCATTATCATATGTACAAGAGAAATCAACAAAAGGTCAACAGAAATCACATATTTACAATGTATAAGTCGATTAAAATCGTAAAAATCATCGAAAATTGACATAGAGAATAATAGATATAGGGTTTTGTACAAAAAAACAACGAGTATCAATGATGATTGACAGAGTGACGGTGCGCTGTGATGAGTAGGTTAGGGTTTGGTTGGGATGAATCTCATTTGGGTTTTTTCTTGACGTAGAATATACGGTTAGTTAATGTATTAAAGAATAATAATTTAAAAGTCGAAGTGTATTAATCAATATTTTAACTAATGGGCCGTACTTAGCCCAATAACTTCATTATAAAAAGCCCCAGTCCTAAGATCATTTAGTGACATCATTAAGTCAAAGTAAAGTGGAAGAACTCGTAAAATTGCCCCGCCAACATCTCAGTGGCATCCCTTGCCCCTTTCTTCTCTGTAAAACTTTTGTACACACAGAGACTTGTATAAATCTAAGAATAAAAATGCAAGACTGTAATTCCTGTGGCATTACTACCCGTACCATCCTCTGCAGCCACCGCTGCATATTCTCTTCACTAACGTTGGCATCATTAGTCAATCACCGAACTCCATTACCAATCCAACTTCAGAGACTATTTTTTATGTAGGAATAATGCTATCTATCGCAATTGCTGATGATCAACTGTCTAGGTAGCAATTAAGTGACATTAATTGATATGTCATCTTAAATTCAGGATTTGGATCTCATTTAAAAATGACATATTAATAAATGCCACTTAATTACCATCTAAACTGCTGATAATCAGCAATTATGATAGAGAACATTATTCCTTATGTATACCTGAGAGATAACATGTAAATATGGGACAGACAGAAATTTCCAGTTGGGTTGACTGGAAGAGAAGAGAAGATCTGATAGAGGACAGAAAAAGGTTGGGATGTGGAATGGGATAATGCAGTGGAAGAGCCTTTCACCTTCTTCTTACGGTTTCTGTTTCTTTTGGGGCCTACAGCTGAAGTTCTACTTCTATCCCCACCGTATTGCATGGACAGATCACGTAGGACATTTTTCTGTTATGTTTATTTGCAGATCTTGGTGGAAGGGGTGCATTGAGCCTGCTGTTGTAGTTGAATGGTTAAGGTGAGACAGATTGTTGGGTGCAAATTGAAACCGAAGACAAATTTAGTTGTTAAAGACTTATTTTTCCCCCAAAGGAAAACAAAGGGAAAATTATCTGTCCCCTCTTTTTCTCTCTTTTTGTAACATTTTTGAGTCGGAGGTTAATAGTTTTCTATAATATATAGTTCTAGCACATTTTATATTTTTATAAATATTTAACTTATATTAATTACCTAATGGTAGGTCCTGATCAAAGAAACTCAGCAAATGCTATATTTTGCTCCTGGATGGCAGTTGGGAACATTCTTGGATTTTCTGCTGGGGCTAGTGGAAATTGGCACAGGTTAGGTATTTGTGTATTCTGCAGTAATGTTCTCTATATTATGAAATGCTTATTTGATCTGTATTATCGGGAGCATTATGATTCTCAAAAAATTATTATAGGACTAGAAACAATTACATTTCAAGTGGTACACTCTGCTTCCCCATTCTTTTCAATAAAATATGTGACATTAAGTGTTTGTTGATAAATCCTTGGAGCATGTTTAATTATGCTTCTTTCTAAAAATGAAGCCATGGGATGTGGCTTCGTTTTTAGTGTCTTAATGTATAGAAGGAAGCACACCTGAACATGCTATTATTAAACCCTTTATTTTTTTATTTTTTTTTCTCTGAATGATTGATGAATTTAATATGTTCTGAACAGATGGTTTCCATTTTTGACGAATAGAGCTTGTTGTGAACCATGTGGGAATCTGAAAGCAGCATTTTTGGTCGCAGTGGTGAGTTATTAGTTTAACAGGGGATAGGCTTTCTTTGTACAGTTGGAGATATCTTTATGTGACTACTCAATTCTTGAGATTATGGATTTTTTAGTGTTGAATAAACGGTTTAAATTGAACAGTGATATATCATTGCAATTGCCGGCTTATTGTTTGATCAAACTGCTCTGTTTCCATTTCATGTGCATCATATGACATCGAGTGGAATAATCTTAGAATTTTATGAAAATAATTTATCTTTTTGTAGATTTTGCATCTGACCTTTTCTTGCCGATAAGAGGTACTTTATTATATAAATTATGCCCCTGTTTGGTTTTGCTAAAATTAAGATTTTTAGTAGATTCTATTAAATGTTGATGAAATGCATGATTGAAAAGTTTATAAAAGCTGTGGATAACGTGAAATGTGTGGTTGAAAATGAATTTGAAGAAAAATGAATTTTAGAAAATGGGGGCCAAACAGTGTATCTCAGTATATTTCTGTTCATATGCACACCTTTGATGGTGTACCTATGCTATGACTGCTGACAATATATAAGTAATTGTGATCAAGTGTAGGTATATTTCTGTTCGTATGCAGAATGTGTGGCAATTTTTCTGTAGCTTTCGTTATTTTACAATTTTTCACCTTCACTTATGAATTATCTTGTAAGTTTACTGTTATAGATTGTATCTACCTGCTACCAAACGTTGTTTGCACTTTGTCCAATTCTAAATTCTGATGTGCAGGTGTTCCTGACACTTTGCACGCTTGTGACTCTCTACTTTGCAAAGGAAGTTCCATTGGTACCAAAGCAACATCACCGTCCATCAGACTCTGCTCCTCTTTTGAATGATCCTGAAGAAAACGGTTCTGACATTTTAAAATCAAAAACTGATACCAAGTCAATGGATAATAGCCCTGGGAGTAAGGCTGTTCGGGATTATGCAATGGATAACAATTTTAGGAACCAAGGGCTAAAAGATGGGGAGGATCACGATGAAAATTTCAATGATAGTCCTAGTGCAGTTTTGGTCAATTTACTGACTAGCTTACGCCATTTACCTCCAGCAATGCATTCAGTCCTAATAGTCATGGCATTGACTTGGGTAAGTGCTTTCTGATGGGTTGTTTCCCAAGTGGGGTTCCATGGCTAGGTTGCAAATAGCCTGTTGGTTACTAATTATGTTTACTGATGTCTTTAATTCTTTTATCTCTGACCTTTTCCTTAATAATTCGTGATCAGACGTCCTGGTTTCCTTTTTTTCTCTTTGACACGGATTGGATGGGGAGAGAAGTTTTTCATGGGGACCCAAAGGGAGACGTCTCTGAAGTTCAAGCTTATAATGAAGGTGTCAGAGAAGGTGCATTCGGTTTAATATTGAATTCCGTAAGAACTCAATTGATATCCATTCGTTTTTCTTTTTATGCATCAACAAAAATTCCATTTAGCAACTGCAGGGTGTACCATTGTAATTGTACTAGCATCCCAAGTCCCTTTCTTTATGTTTTCTGTTTGTTTGTTTGGCAGGTTGTTCTTGGCATTAGCTCCTTCTTTATTGAGCCAATGTGTCAGTGGATGGGAGCAAGATTAGTTTGGGCTGCGAGCAATTTTATCGTGTTTGCCTGCATGGCAGGCACTGCTCTTATTGGTTTTGTATCTGTGAGACAATCCTCAGAAGGGGTTCAACATGTCATTGGGGCAAATGGAGCTACTAAGATTGCCTCTTTAGTTGTTTTTGCCCTTCTTGGTCTTCCTCTTTCTGTAAGTATTCTGATGCTTGACTTTCACCCTCCCAGTCTCTAAATAGTGTGGATATGCACAGAAATGTGCATCTCCATTTTTTATTTGAAATCATTTTTCCTGATCTTTTCTTTTGATGCTTTTCTCTGTATTGTAGGTCACGTACAGTGTGCCTTTCTCTGTTACTGCCGAGTTGACTGCTGATTCAGGAGGCGGCCAAGGTACTTCTAGAGTCTTCTTTGTTCTATCTCTGCTATTTGATGAAGCTATATATTTAATTTAAAGTTTTTGCACCACTGATCAGGGCTGGCTATCGGAGTACTAAATCTTGCTATAGTCTTACCTCAGGTAGTTTTCTGTCTTCTTTGCCGGTTGACTGTTTTGCTTGATTATGAATGTTGAATATAGGCTTTGGCCGACTAATGTAGATGATAATTTTCCTAAAACAAAATATAGCCATTTTATTTGAGTTGGCTTCATTGTTTGTGCTGTGGATGATTTTCTGATATGCTATAGTTTCTTTTTCTCATTAGATGATTGTGTCCCTTGGTGCGGGTCCGTGGGACCAATTATTTGGTGGTGGAAATATACCGGCTTTTGTCCTGGCATCAGTATCTGCCATGGCAGCTGGTGTCATTGCAATTAACAGGCTTCCAACTCTTGATAGCAGTTCCTACAAGTCAACAGGCTTCCACTTTGGTTGATCAAATATTCTTGGACGAGACAATTAGCTCTTGTATATGACACTGCTAGCCAGATAGACCAGTATCGAGCGCACAAATCTTCGGAGTTTACTCGTATCATTTCTCTTCAGGGAGACGAGTATTCCACACCCAAGTTTTATTCATTTTTTTACCCCAGTGGGCAATTCTAGTGCTAGTATATATATACACATTACTACTGTAAGAAGCATATAAACCAGGAAAAAAAGCATAGATATGATATAGCTTAAAGCCATCCTGGGATATCTTGTAATTCTTTTATTTGATATATAGCAGAGCTGACATTTTCAATCATACGTCACTGATAGTTTTCGAACATTACAGGGGTGTAATAGAAATGAGTTTGAATAGTATGTAGACATCGAAGACCCCATGCTTTCGAATGTTAAGAAATTTTGTTATTTTCTCTTAAGATATTTGTCGTGCTGGTGTCGCAATTGTATGCTTTGGGCTTGATACTCTTACGAATTTCATGCGTGTGGTGTCAATATGTGTCAAGTCTTCTAGGCTGCATGTGAAGAGCCAGGCCAACAACAATCTTTTCTGGGCTCCAGGTGAAATGTGTACTAGGAATATTGAGGTGGGGTACAAGTTTAGCAGAGAGTAGGAATCTTGATGTCTGTTGTTTGTAGTGAATTTCCCAGGGAAAAGGCAAATTATACATGATACAAGTTTTAACAAGCCAATTTAAGATTATTGATTGATTGTTGGTGATAAAATAGAAATTTGGGTCGGGTGTAGCAGTTCAATTGATGATGAAATAGAATTCTTGATTCAGGTTTTTGCTTTATTGATATAAAGTTCAATTAAGCTTCGATAAGCTAGATTCAATATAAAGCATCACGATATTTGTTTATTATATTGTGTAGTAGTGTATAAATAGATAATACGGTCAAATCCTAACAGAAAAATTCAACTAAACAGGTTATACAAACAGATCTGGAAACAGGGTTAAAAACAGGGGGCTGAGGTAAAGCCCCCTCAATCCCCTATTTTTAACCCTGTTTGTTGGTCTGTTTCAGCAGCATTAATGAAATTCAACCAACCCACTGTAGAAATATAAAATTGTAGCCTTGTGGAGCCAATAGTTGACAAATCATTTTCAAGAGGAAAGGGGGAGGGGGGGGGGGGGGTAAAAAGGGGGGGGGGGGGGGGGGGGGGGGGGGGGGGGAGACTTCCAAGATAGAAGGGCACATGCAGATCAGGTTTTGCAAGAAGTCATGAGGAAGAGTAGATTCAGCCACTTTTTATCCAAAAAAAAAAAAAAAAAAACTTTTATATGTTTATATCTTACAGAATTTTATCAATATTATAGCATTATGTATGTAATAGAGTTTTGTAAATATAGAATATACAAATATATGAGCATAAAGAAAATGGATCCACCCCCATTCCAATGGGGAAGGCTTTCAGCTTCCAACTAATAAATTCGTGTGATGAAGTGACCCTATTTTACCCCCCTTTTTTTGCCAATATATAAATTTGCATGGTGGTCCCTTTTCTCCATTACCACCCATTTCAAAAGTTGTGGATCTCATCATTCATGTATATACGTAAAAAAAAATTCAAAATGTGATACTTAAATAATATTGTAGGATATAATAAATAAACTTCGTACTTCTTTCTTTTCATGAGTGCCCGGGTCTAGCTTAAATTTATTGATATCGAAATTTAATTTTTGTTGTTGCTAATGGGGTGCTTATTTTTCTGATCTTGCATATATATAAAACTATGCACGAAGAAAGAAAAAAGATGGTCAAAATGAAACTATAAGCGTTAGCCATTGCTTGTACTTAAAATTGTTGAACCATTCTATTTAGAAGTCTACATTTTTTAGAGATAAGAAACGCCCGATATAATTCTTGTTATTGGTTAACATTGAAAATTGGATTAGCTCTCATATCGTGAGGCATGCCCCTGATTATGTTGATTAGAAGAAAAGCAAACTAACGACTGTGAGAGATAATTTCGTTGATGAAAGGCATTTTCTAATTTTAAATAAGATGAGATAGATTTGACGATCTAGTAAAAGAGTAGTCGCCACCTTTTAATTCCAAATGAGAAAAATCAGGATTTGTTGATTCAAAGCAAGCTCCTTATGACGCACCCTAGGATCTCACAAATTCATAAACTATTTAAAATAAGATATTTAAAAAATTTATAAATAGATGACAAATGTAGTCTCTATACTAGTCTATTTGATGTAATTTCTGGATAACCAATGACATCTACATTAAAGAAAAAAATGCCATCCCTTTCTATCTATTAAAAAAGGAAAGGTCCAAATAAATTGTTCTTATATTTTTAAGGAAAAAAATAAAAATCTATTCTAGAGTACATAATATTGGAATGGAAAATGGCTTCTTCACTGTACATGATACTTGTTGGTAGTTTAGGTGGCAACCCCCCCCCCCCCCCCCCCTCCCTCAATTCTTCTATTTTCTTCGAGAAATCTTAATGTCATGGTGGTTGATGAAAATTTGCACTAGTGTTGGATCAATATTTTCATTTTTATAAGCTCATATTGTTGACGATTCAATCTCTTTGTTAGTAGAATAAACCAAATTTGTTGTCTAAATCTTCACATACAACATGTTAGAATGCTGAGAATGCACCTAGCTTCTCTAGAAGGTAATGAAAAAAGTAATAATGGTACAAGTTACACCCAACAATGAAAAGTCTACTAGGATATCGTGCTACTAATATTTTAGTATCATTACATATTCTTGCTAGTGCATGCATTATATTATTACTGCCAAGCACGCATGCCACATCACTGCTAGCATGCTTCATGAACCAAGACAATATTTTCATTACTGTTAGTAGGTTTAGTCTATATTACAGAGGAGATGTTGTAGAAATTTTGACAAATCATATGCGATATTTATCTTTCGAGACAATTTGTAAATCCTCACTTATTCAGACTCGCATAGATTTTTTCAAGGTAGTTCATAAGTTCTCACACATTAGATCTACTCATATTTCTGGGACAAATTTTAAGACCTTGCCTAGTTGATTACTTATATTTCAAAGTTCGACTCGCACAATGTACAATTCATACTTGGGAACTTTTGTTACACCTATAAATTACGTGGCATACGTATGATGGAGGGGCCCCGTATTGGTTGACGTGACATCGACTATTTAATTGATTGGACTCATTTAATTAAAAAATTGTATTTTGGGCTTAAACTTGGGCCCATTTCACTACCCCATTTGGCCCACTTCCACATACATACATACATACATACATATATATATATATATATATAGTCACGATTCTGTTGGTACAATTTTTTGTGTCAACAAATTTTTATTTTTGTTTGCAGTTACATACATAGGTTGGTTTTCTAGGGAAAGATCTTTAATTACAATGAAGTTAGCTTTCTACGGCATTTATTTATGGCATGCATTAAAGGCAAACCATAAAAATAGATTATTTATGGGGTGTGCCATAAATGTATGCCGTAAATGACAAATTATTCTTTTGATATATATCATATCATAGGATGTTACTTCAAATGATTCTCAATGTCCTCAGAAGTGATAAGATCAATAAAGGAAATCGGCCAAAAATAGCCTTTGTAATCCATGATTTTCTCTCTCAAAGTTACCTTTCTTTCATTCCATGTGGATGACAAATTAGATGCAATCATTGAGGTATTTTGTTTTCATTTATGTAGCGCAATTTGTTTTCAAGTAAGTTTTATTCCCAAATACTTTAATTTTGACACCATAAGTTGCTTTCTAAGATATATCACGAAATGGACATTACAGCGTGCATAAAAGTGTACTGTTAAAAATAGCGTCTTTTTTAGTCATGCAAGCTCACACTATTTGGGGCATGCCGTAAAATGTGAATGGATTTATAGTGCGCAGTTGCACGCCATAACAACTACGTTAACAGAAAGATTTTCATTTTTTAACAGCATGCAATGGATAATGTGAAAAGATATGTGTATTTGCGGCATGACTTTATACGACATTCACTTGCATGAATACATTGAATTTCTACCCATCATCTTTCTTTGGCCTGATAACTATGTTATAGATACTGTTGCTCCCTCAATAATCATATCATTCCAATAAAGCATTCAAAAAATTAATAATTCTAAAACATATACAATAATAAATTGTTTACAAAGAAAACATTGAATTTCTACCCACCATCTTTCTTTGTTCTTGAAATGCCAGTGAGAAGCAACTTATGATAGATTTTGTTTCAAGATCACAAGTTTCTAATTAATATGTTTTCACTTACCACAAAATACTCAACTGTATACAAAATGATGTGTGAACTTGCAGGACATAGAACCACTATCTTAATTCAAGTGCTACGGTTCAATGTGGCTCCAAATTAATATACAATAAGCTCGTCGTGGTAACTCGTACTTTATGATGACCACATCGAGAAGTCAAACATGCCTTCTTGTTGCCGAAAATATTATGACATACAAAATATATGTATTGTAGTACACTTGTATTCACTTTTCATTTGTATATTAATAAAGTCTTTTATCAATACTTAATGTGATAACCTTGTAATTTTGGCCGGTTTAATCGAATAGAATGATCCTTATTATAGTGGGTATTATACCTGTGTAATCTACGAAGTTATAGAAAGTTACTATTTAGCCATAGCGATTTAGAATTTAAGAGCCTCATAACTTTGGTATGAATTTAGGAATTAAATTAAAAAGAATAATTTTAGTTTGACAGAAATAATAAATTAACAAAAATTAGAAGATTGCTAGTATATTCTCAACTTATAGAAAATTTTGAATGTTTAGTCCTAGCCATTGATTGGGATCTATCTCCACCATCCATTGCAATGAAGTGATAGTATAAATAGAGGCAGTGGTCAATTAGAAATGAATCCAAGAGTGCTTGAGAGTGATAGAGAGTATTGAGTGTCCACAATGTTCGAGAGAATTATATTGATCTTTTAAAGTCCTCACAAGCCTGTAGTTTGTCGGCCTACATTTTTGGCTAGTTGTTGTGCCTAGTGTAGTTATTATCATAGAGGAGAGTTTGAGATTATAGTGCCAACTTAATTTCATTCATTACTGTGTAGAAGAATATATACACAATAAATTGGCGAAACCTTGACAAGCTAAAATATAATGACTCACATTTCAACTAAACTACAACAGTTCAGGAAGATAATAGATTAGAGCTAGTAATTCTAAATGTGAGAATATTAAAGATATATACACTTAGGAGATAAACATAAGTGGTTGTAAAGTTATGTTTTTTCTCAAACATATTCTCAAAATATGCTAGAGCGGCCAGCAAAATCAATATTGGACCAAAATAGTTGAAGTCATGCGTCCATGGTGGATAAATGAGTGATGCAAAGTTCATCATTATATAAAGGATCACGAAAAAAGTGGAAATCAAA